AAGATATCCCCCTTATTCAAGGGAGATACCAGAAACTAATATGTATTCTTCATCCTGTCCAATTTTGTATTCTGTCCTTTCCACTTCAGTCCCCTGAATTTTTGTTACTGTGATTGTTGTGGACTATTCATTTGATTCCTTGAAACACTCTAACCAACTCCTTCCATGAAAAAGTTCTGGCTTCTTGATTATGCATGCTGCCATTGTTCTTGTTACCGCTTCTTACATCTTTGACCGTGTGTACTTAAACATAGTCAGTTATGTCTTTGACAAACCACAGTGGAGTCTACATCTGTGGACTTTACTATGTTTCCTCCTACCCACTTCCAATTCCTTACAAATTGGTTCTTCAGCTAGGATAACAACCAGCCAAAATGTAATGATACCATATTAGCATCCCTGATGGTTTCTTCTAAATCATTTTAATAATTTTAGAAAATTACAGTTATTTGTATTTGTTTGTTTTGCAGTACGGGGGATTGAACCCAAATTATACACATTGAGCTGCAACCCCAGGCTTTCTTAACTTTTCATTTTGAGACAGAATTTCATTAAGTTTCTAAATTCTGGTAGGAGCAAAGATGGTGGAGAGATAACTGGCTACAGAGGCTCCCCAAGATAGTTAACTTAGAATTCAACATAATATAGAGTGGGGAGCCCCAAACAGAGGGAGATGAATTCTCTCGTCCCAACAAGAAATTAAGGTGACTTGCCGACCATCCGAGGTCCTGCCATTACTGGCCAACGTGTGTCTTGCCAGGGTTCCACCACAACTTGCCAAGGTCCTGCCGCGCCTTGCCAGGGTCTCTCCAGGATCCCGCCATAACTTGCCAAGTCATCCGAGGTCCCACTGCTTCAACCCCCTGGAGGTGCAGTTACATTGAGTCTGGGGGTCGGCGAGCCAAAAGGAGAGCTGAGTTGGCAGGATGCCTACATCGACCTGTGGTGAGTGACGGGAGTGGAGCCATTCCATAAATAGGGGGGCTCTGGCGGATGACATTCTAGGACCTGGCAGGACTGGCAAGTACAAGGGGCAGCAGTGACTTCAGTCAATTATTCCCTTCCCAAACAGGATTGGTGGAGTGAGCTAGGCCTGGGTCACATGACCTAGCTGAGACTCAATAGGTTATCTGAGGTCAAGTCCCTGCAGGGGTGGCACACACTAACCACACTGGCCCAGTGGGGCCTCAGAGGTTTGGCTGGTCCGGAGGGGAGGCGGTACCAAGTTATACAGTAGTGTAAGCCACAGCAGCTTGACTGATCTCGAGGGGAGGGGCCAGCATATGCTGTGCCTGTCTGCAACTCACTAGCACATGGCAGTGGGAAGGGTCATCTAGCCAGCACATTTTAGAAGAATTGTAACCAACAAAGAAAGAAACTGGGGCCTCATGGAAGAAGCAAAAAAGATGGGAAGAAGATGCAACAACAAAAAGTCTCAGAATATTGACCCAGGACAGGTAAATACAAAGGAGAATGAGAATAGCAAACATGCAATATCAGACACAGTGGCAGTGGACATAAAAAGATATATTCGGGACCTTATAGATGAGTTCAAAAGTGAAATATTTAGCCAAATAAAGCAAGATATAAGAAGATTAATAAAAGAGAAACTAAGCACTCCTCAAGCAGACACAGATGGAAGAAGGGAGGAACTCAAACAAAGGAGAGAACCATTTGATGAAGAATATAAAAAATGTAGAATACATGAAGCAGATTTAAAGAGATTATCAGGAAATTAAAAACTCTATGGAAAAATGGCAAATCACCTTGAAAGAAACTAAGGATAGATTATCCAAACTGGAGGACAATTTTGCAATGTGGGAGTATGAAAGGGAAAACTTTTAAAAATAACAAGGAAATAAGCAGTAACAATACAAAGGCTAGAATGTGACAAAAGGATCTATAACAAGAATAAAGAATGTGAATGAAGAAGCTGGGATACAAACAATGGAACTACAAATGTTATTCACAGAAATAATTAGGGAAAACTTCCCAAACATAGGAAAAGGAAATGATATTCTGATATATGAGGCATACAGAATTCCAGCCATGTACAACCAAAACAGAACTATAATATATAATATATATATATGATATAATATATAATAATATAATATATAACATATATTATATATATATAATATATTATTATATATAATAGTAATACCCAGGCATATAACAATCAAGATCCCAGAAATTCAATATAAGAACAGAATATTTAAAGCTATTAGAGACAATAAACAGATAACCTATAGAGGAAGGCCCATCAGAATGATGGAAGACTTTTCAACATAAACCATCAAGTCAACAAGAGCCTGGAGTGAAATATTCCAAGCCCTGAAAGAAAATAACCTCCAGCCCAGATTGATACACCATGCTAAACTGTCTCTAGAAATTAGAGAAACAAGATGCTTCCAAGACAAAGAGGAACTTGGGAAATTCGCAATCACCAATGCAACTCTACAGAGAATATGGCTGGGCATTCTAGAGCGAGAGAAAAGTACTAGGACTCCAGGAATAGTGGCAGAGAGGCCTCAATGAAGGGAGCAGATAACAGAAGAAAATAAGCAGACAACTGATGGCAAAAAAAGAGCATAACAGAAATGAGGCAGAGAAGATTTTATTCAAAACTGATATGATAGTATCAAGTCAGAGTATAGGTAACTGCACTGTAGATGACAAGACACAACAATACACATTCTGGTTTGATTACTGCCAGTTTTTGAAGTTCTATACTATATACAAAGTGGTGTTTTTATTAATACTGTTATGTACTGACATATTCAATTATACTATGTCTGATGATATAGCCAATTCTATTGGAGATAACGAGACAGCACAGAAAATATGGTAGAAGATTTGTACAATGGTCTTATATGTTTATTTTGTTTCATGTGTTTATAGAAATGTTTTGTTTTGTTTGCCTTGCTTTGTTTTGTTTCTCCCTCTAATATAGAAAGGATAGAAATGCATGTGAAGACTCATTCATGTGTAGAATCTATAAACAGTTTATGAGAACTGGTCTTATGACAGATGATGAAATGAACAGATACTTTGAAGAAAAAGAGACACTAAAATACCCAGTGTTGATCCTGGAGTGTCATAATGTGAAACTCAGCAATAGTATTATTCTTTGTTCAGAGTGATATTAGCCTGCTTGGGTTTATTCAATCTCAACATAATTGAAGATATGGATAACCGCCTGTATGTTTAAGTACATAGAATTGATAACCATATTTCTAAATTTTTGTTGGATAGTTGAACAGAACTGGTTGCAATCTACTATTTGAATCCCCACTTTATATGCTCCACTTTAATATCTTGAATAACTATTTGTAAGAAGACAACCTGTAATCATCAACTAGTGATTTCTGTTTATTTTTTTCTTCGAAATTATGTATTATTTCTACCCATTTTGTTTTGTTTAGTCTTTCTTTAAATTTTAAAAAAAGACACTACAGTACCCAGTGCTGATATGGAGTATCATGATGTGAAATCCAGCAATACTATTATTCTTTGTTCAGAATAATTTTAACCTGCTTTAGTTTGTTTAATCTAAACCTAAATGAAGATATGGATAACTGCATGTATGTTTAAGTGTATAGGATTGACAACCATATTACTAAGTTTTGTTGGACAGTTGAACAGAACTGTTTGCTGTCTTGCTGTTTGTATTCTCACTTTACATGATCCATATTTGTTATCTTGAACAACTATTTGTAAAACAACAATATGTAAACATCAACTAGTGATATCTTAATATTTTTTTTCTCTGAATGTATATATTCTTGCTGCCTATTTTCTGCTTTGTTTAGTCTTTAAATAAAATTTAAAAAAATAAAATTAAAGAAAATTTCTAAATTCCTATGCTGGGGTCAAACTTGTAATTTTCCTGCCTCAGCCTCCCTGAGTGCTAGGATTATGGATAATTTTCTAATGATGCACAACAAATACCATGAGTTATTAGTTATTAACTCCTAATTCTTCAGAAGAATGGTTGCTTGCTTACCTCTTCAAGATCTTGTAAAGCTAAAATTAAGACATCAGGGGCTGGGGATTTAGCTCAGTGGCATAAGCGCCTGCCTTGCAAGCAGGCAGTCGTGAGTTCGATCCCTGGTACCGATAAAAACAAAAAAAGACAAAAAAAAAAAAAATTAAGACATCAGCCAGACTCTGTTCTCCTTTGGAGCTCAGGGTCCTCTTCCAAGTGACTGTGGTTACAGCACAATTTAGATCCTTGAGGCTGCTTGCACTCTTGCCATATGGTCTCTTTACACTTTTAGCTAAAAAAGACTCCAATCTCTCACACCTTAAACCTCTTTTGCCAATAAGATTAAGTCCTTTTTAAGAACTGACTTGATTGGGATAATCTCCCTCAAGTTTAAGTGACTTGGAAATCTTAATTGTATCTGAAAACTCGCTTAACAACACACAGATGAGTGCTTGAGTAACAAGGTAGATTTATACTCGGGGACAGGAATCCTGACACCATCTCTGAATTCTGCCCACTACCATAGTGATTTCCTTTTCCATTTATTAGTTGATGTCCTACTTTAATAAAGTGCTTCTCCTTTTTTTAAGTCTTCTTTTTCTATTCTTTCTTCCTCTCAGAATGGACTACAGAATTTTTAAAAATTTAGTATCACTCTGACATTATACCTTTTCCCTCTGCCAGTATGTCTAGCTTTCTTACTGCCCTTGTTTCCTTGCTCTCTTCCACAGCTCTCGGGGAGGCTTCCTGGCTCTGGCAGCTCCCTCTGTCAGAGATTAGGGGTGTGCCATGCGAAGTAAGAAAAGCCAAGACCCAGACCTTAAGTCTTCCCACCAATCCCTCTCCAGGGGCCGCGTCCTGACAGCGGGCGGGGCCTGGCGGGGCAGAGCTGGAAGTAGCCTCCAACCCGGACCACACCCCGAGGGGAGCAGCCAATCAGGACTTGAGGTGATAGTTTCCCCATTGTGAAGAACCGGCCTTTTAAGCTCTGGGTCTTGGAATTCTGGGTAGAGCAAGGAGAGGAATAGTGGCCTGGGTCTCTCTTTAAAACGCTCAGACCTCTCAGAGTGGAAAGATCATGAGTGCAGAGGCAGACGAGCGGAAGCCTGATTCGTCTAAACAGTCGCCGCAAGAGAAGGCCCTTCGTGCTCCGCCTCACACATTTCTGACCATCGTGGCCATAATTCTTTTCCCTCCCTTGGGATTGGCAGGTTTCTACTACAACCGCCAGGTAAAACAGTGCCGCAGTCATGGCCTATCCTGTCCTCTGCTTTCCCTCTTCATCTACTTCTGTCCTGGGACGTGGGTAAATGTCTTCCCTCCAAGCTCGAGGGCCCTGAGCATTCCCCCAAGGGATTCTGGACAGGAAACCCATACCTATGCTCCCACCCCTACAGACCATAAAGGCCAACCAGAACAAAGACTGGGATGAAGCTCACCGCAACTCGGCCCGAACTGGCTGGCTGGACGTATTCGCCATACTCATTGGTTTAGGCCTCATTTATGTATTTGCTCTATTTCTCTGAAGTCTATTTATAGCATGACAAGGGTTTACACCCCAATAGATCCACCCACCAAGACACTGACCAGCCACCATACAAGAAACTCGGTGTCTGATTCATGCCCTCATGAGAAACCCACCAACCAAGGAACGCGCAGCCAAGCAACTCAGCAGTCTAGGAACAACTAGACCGCCTGCCTGTACCACTTCCGCTCACCTGGCCCCCAGAGTTTTCATCCACCTCAGCTTCACCCTTCAGGGCCCTACATCCTCTTAGTTCCTTGACACTGGGCTGCTGCTCTCTCAGAAAAAAAATTGAACCAATAAAACTGAAAAGAATGTTCTGGCTTCATGTATATGTGTGTGCACACGTGTGTATGTGTGTATGAAGGGCAGTGTCTCCTACACTCTGTGAAAATCCGAATGTCCTGATAGTGAAGCCCAGAGATGTGGAAATGGGATAAATGTAGATTTATATCCCCCTTGTGATTCTAAAACTGAAAATCCTTGAAGGTTGAGGCATGAGGGTTGCTGTGAGTTTGAGGCCAGCCTGGGCTACACAGTGAGACCCTGTCTCAAAAAAAAAAAACTTCAGAATTTTTCTTGGGCCTGGTTCTTTTTGTCTGTAAATGTGGCACAACCATTGCTAAGAAGGATATTTAGAAAACTGAATCAACAGTTATCCTTTAGTGTTTCCCATTTACGCTAGGATGACAGGCTCCTAGTGTTTCAGAGAAAGTGCAAGAATTAGAAAAAACCATCTTTTTTATCTGTTTTTGTGTAGTGGTAGTTTTTTGTTGTTTGGTTTGGTCTTTTTGAGACATGGTCTCACTATGCAGTTCAGGCTGTTCTTGAACTCACTAGGTAGCGCAGGCTGACCTCTAACTCACAGAGATCCTTCTGCCCCAGCCTCCCAAGTGCTGGGATTACAGGTATGCAAGTGCCAGCAGGCCTGGCACTTCTTCTGGTTTTGTTGTTGCTGCTGTTGTACTGAGCACTGAGCCCAGGGCCTTCTCACTGAGTTACATCCCGAGCCTTTTTATTTTGATGGTCTCACAGATCACTAAGTTGCCAGGCCTCACTCATACTTGTCATCTTTCTGCCTCCAAATCATTAAGTGCCAATGTTACAGGCCTGTGCCAGCACACCCTTCAGCTCTCCCAGCTCTTGAGACCCAAAAACTCATCTTCTAGGGAGAGAACTGAAAAACTTCGGAAACAAAAATAGATTCTGCAGAATAGTTGATGAAGAGGACCTTTCTCTCAATCTGGAAAAGTAACTGGTCCCCCATTCATGCAAGAGGGGAAGCAGAGAGAGAGATTAGATGTCAGTATATTTAAAAAGAGGTCCCTGTTGCCTGCATCTCAGGAATAGGAGTGTCAGAGACCCTAGGTGTTACTTGTGTTTATCCTTTGCACGTAACTCCTAGACAGGCTACAAGATCTCAAAGAAGATAAGCTATACAATGATATAAAAGGCCTCGAATAGCCAAGTTAAATATCCCATGTCCCAGGTTGGTGAGGAGAAGGTGAGATCTTGAGGAATTCCAAGCACTACAGCAAAATATGATCATCAGGGAGGAACTGGGATAATGTAGGAACCATCCACAGTAAATAAAATCTGGATGAAACTTGGATAACAAACATCCAGGGGCTACTTCTAGTACCCTAGCTTCATGAACAAAACTGCACTCATACTCCTAAGCAATAGATTCAGCAGAATGAAGTTTTCACGCCCAAAGAAAATGAGGATTACTGGCAGAAACTGAGTTGTGGAAGAGGCTTCCCCAAACACCATGGCTGCCTCTTTCTAGAAGTACTACTCAGACACACTTCATAGGTTTCCCTGTGTGGTCACACTTTGGTCCTGTGACTTTGGCCCTGTGAGCAGATCTGAGAGCTGCAAACAAACACTTCTCATGGGCACTTCTTTATAATATTCTTCTCTGGCCAATGGAGCAAGTGACATGTAGGGTAATTTTGAAGGCCGTGTATTGTAGAGAGAGCAGAGCCCCCATCCGTTTGGGTCTCTGAATCATTCTAGGAATGATCTCTCTTCATCTACCTTGAGCGGTGAAGAGAAAATAAACTATCATATTGAGGCAGGACATGTGTAGTGTTTCCAAACTACATCAATGCAGAACAAAAGTTATTTTTGTACATCTAGGATTACAGCTTGAAATTTATACTCGGGGGAATCAAAATGGCGGCTTGCTAGGGGATGGGGCGGAGAGTCTCTCCAGAGAAATCATATTAGAAGCTAGAATATGACAACATGGAGAGGGCCAGACAAATGGATAACAATTCTTATTAACCAAGACAGTGCAGCTGGAGGATTTAAAGTCGTGCTGAGACTGTGAAGGCTGATTAACGGGAGGCTGCAAATCCCGCGCCTTTAAATCAACAAACTAACCCGTGGACCCAACAGGAAAAGCTGTGTTGGCTTTTGGTGACTGCTGGAAACTGAGACCTGAGATCCTGAGAAGCAGCCAGGACTGCCCTGCTGCACCAGAGGAGATCGTGAAAGGCTCTGTAGCTCCAAAGTGGAACGCAGAGCAGATTTCTGACTGTTCCGCGCTGTACCGGGAGTGCACGCTGCGCGGATTTCTGACCCTTCCACGGTGTGCTGGGAGCGCGGGAAAGGTGGGCGGTGTGGACCCTGGTGAGTACTGGGGACCCTGCAGCTGCTGGGGTTGGCCAGAGAACATCTTGGAACTGGGCAGTGCCCGCCACCACGGGGACATCAATACCACAGAGTCTGGTGGCAGCCATCTTACAGTTGGGCAGAACCTACAGCTCGGTGGCATCACTGAGTCCCCCTGTAGGGAGGGCTGGTGGAAGGCATCTTGAAATTGGGCAGAGCCTGAGTACATGTTGGCTTCAGCGTCATACAGAGAACTAGTGGGAGACATCTTGGATTTGGGCAGTTCTGCTGTTCTGGTGCTCCTGTCACAGAGAGGTCTGGAAGAGAACAGCTGGGATTTGGGCAGGACCCTGTGCCATAGTGACATTAGTCAGCTGCTTCTGGTACAAAGAGAACCGGCAGGAGCTACTGGGACTAAACCAAGCCTCTGCTTGAGGCCCAATAAGCAGATACAAAATAGTCACAACTCAATGACATCCAGAAAGTACAGCCTAATTTACAGATTGACTGGTGCAGAGGCTGGAGGCTAGCCTGTACCACCCCTGCATCCCAGCCTACCCCAGATAACAGCAAATTGGGGAGGACAGCAAAAACTCAAGTCAGCACACTTCTGAAAGGCCCTAAGCAATATGGAGAGGGCCAGAGAACCCCAGGACAGTCGGAAAGAAACCAGAAACATGACAAGAGATAAAAATAAAAAAAAATCTCCAGCTGCCCAACATGAGAAAATAAGCCCAGGAGAAGTAAACACCGAAGAGAACATGCACAGTAACCATCCATTGCTCGACACAGCATCAGCTGAAATTAAAAAGTACCTTCATGATCTCATAGAAGAATTTAAAGCTGTACTCCTGATTCAAGTGAGGCAAGATATAAAGAGATTAATTAAAGAAATGACAAGCCCTGCCCAAGAGAACACAGATGGAAGAACTGAGGAAATCAGAAAAGAAAGAGAAACTTCTGAAGAAGAATTTAAACATAACTTAGAATGCATGAAACGGATCCAAAGAGAATACCAGGAAACTAAAAACTCCATTGAACACTGGCAAAATGCCTTGACAGAAACTAAAGACAGCCTTCTGAAACTTGAAGAGAGATGTATGGCATATGATCGTGAAAGAAAAAGCCTCTTAAAAATAACAAGGAACCAGAAAGAAGCAATTCAAAAACTAGAAGATGACAAAAAGATACATAACTTAAGAATAAAGAATGTGAGTGAGGAAGCAGGAGCAACCAAAAATGAAATACAAAGAATATTCACAGATATATTAAAGCAAAATTTCCCATGTATAGCAAAAAGAAATGATATCCAGATAAAAGAGGCATACAGAACACCAGCTACCTACAACCAAAACAGATCTACGCCTAGACATATAATAATCAAGATTCCAGAAATCCACCAAAAGAACAGAATATTAAAAGCAGCCAGAGAAAAGATGCAGATTACCTACAATGGGAAAACTATCAAAATAACAGCAGACTTATCAACACAAACTCTTAAGTCAAGAAGGGAGTGGGGAGAAATATTCCAAGTCCTGAAAGAAAATAATATGCAACCAAAGCTCATATACCCGTCAAAACTCTCTCTCAAAATTAATGGAGAAATAAGATACTTTCAAGACAAGGAGGAACTGTGGGAGTTCATGGCCACCAATCCAACCCTACAGAGAGTGCTGAAGGACATTACAGAGAAAGAGAGGAAGAGATACCAGGATTCCAGCAACAGTGACAGAGAGGCCTCAGTGAACAGGGCAGACAATGAAATGAGGGAATAATGTGGACAAATTATAGCAGAAAAGTGGAGTAGCAGACATGAGGCAGAGACGGTAAGCTATAGTCTTTAGTATATACAGCTCTGAAACTCTATTTTAAAAAAGGCAGAGGTCATTGTTAATGGTATATAAGGATTTAAAAGACATAGTAGTCTTACTGACATATTTAGTTTGAATTTAATTTATACTGGTCTGTCCACTCATGTCAGATTTGAGGGCACAGACATCTTGACCCAAAAATAGCAGGTTATACCATGGTAACTATCCTTACTTTCCTATTAACTTAAACTGAAATCCTACAATACTTACATTGTCTTACTATGACTGATCTTAATTGAATCTGAATCATAAGACTATGGGTTGGCCTTGGCTGATTTTATTTGAAATTGGTATGCTTGTTAGTATCAACCCTAAAAGTAGAGGCAACTACTCTGAGGATGACAAGATGTAAAGGATATCCATACTGGTATTAATTAGTAACAGCTCTCAAATCCTACATGCTATCAAAGTTAAGTTTTTATAAAAATAGGTGATACTATATTTAACTATAAGAAGCCAGTGTTGTGGTCAAATCTATTGAAAATAACAAGAGAAAACATAGTAACTACAGAAGATCATCTATATTGTGGTCTTATATGTCTTATCCATTGCATGTTTTTCTAGGAAATTGTTTTGCTCTCTTGCTATGACTTGGTATTCCCTATAATACAGAGAGGATAGATATATATGTAGAAATTCACACATGGATTTTTTTTTCTTTTTAATTATTTATGGGAACAGATTATAGAATGCAAGATGCAATGAACAGATACTCTGAGGAAGAGACACTAAGAAACTCGAGGCTAATTTTGTAGCATTATGATAGAAATTCTAGCAATACTATTGTTCACTGATTAGAATGACATTGGACTGGTTTCTTGAGTT